CCCCACCACGCTGGTTGCCCCACACACAGAGGGTGACCCACAGTGGGTGCGGGCCCAGTGAACGGGCGGGAACGGCGGACATCTCGGTCCCTTCCCCTGGCCGTCAGGCTCCGATCACCCGATGGTGAACGGGAACCAGGGGTGGGTGGCGGTAGGGGACAGGGCTGGCTGTAGGCAGCTGGGGAAGATGGCCCTGATCGCAGGCCAGGCCTAGGGACCATACCTGTGCATGAATTTCGTGCACCGGGCCTCTATTATGAGTATAAGTAAGCTTTGCTAACCTTTTGTGATGCATATAGCCTCCCAATGTCCCCACACCTGACAGCTGTCTACAACGCCCACAGAGCTTGTTTACAAATACAGATTTCCGGCCCTGGCCTGGTTGCTCAGTGGATTGGAGTGCTGGCCAGTATACCAAAAGGTTGTGGCTTCAATTCCCAGTCAGGGCACATACCTAGGTTGTGGGTTTCATCTTTAGTCAGGGCAAGAACTGGAGGCAACTGATCAATGTTTCTCTCCCACATCGATGTTTCTCTCTCTCTCTCTCTCTCAAAAAATCAATAGAAACATATCCTCATGTAAGGGTTAAAAACAAACAGACTCCTGGTCCCCAGAGCAGAGGTTCCTATTGGGCGTGGGGATGTGTGTTTAACAGCAGGTAGTTCCAAAGCAGCCCACCTACCTGGCAGGCCCTCGGGGACCTTTGGGATGTATCAGGTTCTACCTGTGCAGAGCTCTCCCCCTCCCCTGGGACTAAATTCCTAACCCTTTCGGTCCCAGTGAAGAATGCCGATGACACTGGGAAGTTGTGCTCTCTGAGCTGGGGTCCCGAGGTCCCCCTGTATTGGCAGATGGGGCCTGAGATGTGTGATCTGGTCCTTTATGTGCAGCACATCCGGTCCTCTGTGCTCGCTGTGATGGAGATGGAGTACCGTGGTCCAGACAGACCCCAGGAGAATCTGTCGGGGAGCCTGGCCCGCAGCGTCAGCCCACCACCATCCTGGCTGGACAGTAGCCTCCTGGTTCAACTCAAAACTCCTTTATCAGATATCCCATCCTCAGCATTCTGGAGTGCTGTCTACTGTGTCTGTCTCCCTCCCTATACTGAGCTTGTTGAGGAAGAAATTTATACTTTGTGGTTATTGTTCAATCTCCATATCCCCAGGACCCAGCCAGGTGCTCCATCAATGTGTGTTGAAGGACTGATGGTGGGTGTTTCAGTGAATGAATGACGGGTACTATCTGGGAGCCCGGAGAGGAATGATGACCTCTGCTGGGGAAGACGTCACCTGGAACAGGTGTCACCTGGAGGTAGCATTTGAGCCTGGCCTTGGTGGATAAGAGGGATTTAGCTAGTGGGGGGGTGGAGGGGTAGGGGGGGGGGTGCGAGTAGTTGGATGGGCATTCCAGGCTCAGGGAACCACGAGGCCTCTGAACGGGCTGTGACACCTGCTTGCCCTGGGCTCGGTTTGGGTCTCCCCACAGGTGCTGCTGCTCCCTCCTGAGAGCTCGCCAATGCTCCCCAAATAGGACCACTGCCACCCCAGTGTTACCTCTGGCCACATCCAGTGTGGTAAGTGCTTCACAGGCAGCCTGGGAAGAGTGGGAATAAAAGGGGTCAACTTCTGTCCTGGACACTGACCTTGGCCCTCAGGGCTTATGTTTAGGGCCAACCACTTGGAGCCAAAACTCTTGGGCTTCGGTTTCATGGTTCTCTCCAAGGGCAGGTACCATTTATTGTGTGCCTACTGTGTGCCAGCCACTATAATGGGTCATTTGTGTGCACAGTATCATCAAATATTTCCAACAACCTAGGGAGGGAGGTGTTATTAGCCCATTTGATAGCTGAGGAGGTTTCTAGGAGGTGGTAGGGTTGTTGAGGTTCCTGGGGCGGGGGGGGGGGCTCTTGCTATCTGGGTCATGTGTGAGTGGGATGGTCACTCTGCCTAAGCAGGCGTGAGCACTCTAGTTTCCTTCCCAGGCTGGTATGAGTCCCGGGAACAAGTGCCAGAAGCAGATCTGCAAGGTGACCAGAGCTGTCCTTGTGTCTGCAGCAGCATCTGGGCACATGCAATGGCTGGAAGCTCATTTTCAGGAGCAAGACATGGAGCATGCCCACACCCCCTTTTGGATAATAGGGCACTGAGTTGTCTCCCCTGGCCCCCCTGAGGATGCCGCCTAGCATGGCAGTCTAATGGGGTGCCCATCCCTTCATCCAGCACAAACCCAGACCAGGGAGACATCCATGACTGGGAGGCCAAAGGGTGAGCCCAGCGCTTGTCCAGACCGCCCCACCACAAAAGTCAAAATGCCATGACCCCTGTATTGCCTGCTCAGCTCCTCAGTTGCTGTTCCCGGGAGGGTCTGTGAAGTCTTTGAGGGCAGGGACTGCTCATTTGTGCATTCAATCACTCAGTCTCTCAACAAACACAGGTTGAGCACCTGCTATGCGGCAAGCATGCTGTTGGGCCCCGGGGAGCCTGTGTATCAACCATGGTTTGGTTGGAGCAGCAGAACTACTAAGGGATGCCTATGTATGAAATAAGGGATTTTTTTTTTTTATGGAGATTTTACTTTCCAGGATTGTGGGAGCCAGTAAAGCAATCTGTGTGAGGCTATTTCTTTCTTTCTTTCTTTTTTAAAAATATATTTTTACTAGAGGCCCAGTGCACAAAATTCGTGCATGGGTAGGGACCCTAGCAGCTGCCGGCTGCCAGCCAGGGCCTCCCTTCCCCCGACTGCCAGCCATCACGTGGCTTTCATCATTTCTGCAGGAGCTGTTCACAGCCCTGAGGTGGATCCAGGGCAGTGGGCCTGGAGGACCTCAGTGGGGTCCCCTCCACTGAAGATGCAGCGCAGAGCCCCAGCCAGACTCCCAGGAGGCAGTGGGAGCAGAGAAGGAAGGGAGCTAGTTCCCAGGTGGAATCAGGGGGTGCTCCTGGGAAGCCCCAGTGTGGCTGAGTCCCTGAGCCACTCCAGGTTCCATTTTCTCTCTGTGTGGGCTGGAGTTGAAGACAGTGGTTTAGAACCAGCATCTGCGGTCTGTGTGCTGTGTGACTTCAGGAAAGTCTCCTAACCTCTCTGAGCCTCAATGTCCTGGCAGGTAAAAGAAGGTTCTCCATGGACCCTTCCAGCTCAAACCCACGTCAGCTTGTAATGTCGCTTTCATAACCTCACAGCCTCCCTCGTCCACAGATGCCTCCGGGCACATGTCTGAATCCTGAATCTCTGAGCTAGGATGCCCCAGGGAAAAGGGCCTGTTTACAGCCCCTTCCTGCAGAACTTACCAGCAAGACACTACCTTGCCTGCCACCTGGCCCTGAGGGAAGGGAGAAGCCTGGGCTGAGTCTCTCCATCATCCAGAATACTGCGATTGAAGAGAAATGGCATTAAGGGTGAAGCTCCCCATCTCCCCCATATACCTGTTTAAAAATGGATTCAGGATAGAGCATCAGCCTGCGAACTGAAAGGTCCCAGGTTCGATTCTGGTCAAGGGCACATGCCTGGGTTGTGGGCTCAATCCCCAGTAGGGGACTTGCAGGAGGCAGCCAATCCATGATTCTCTCTCATCATGGATGTTTCTATCTCTCTCTCCCTCTCCCTTTCTTCTCTGAAATCAATTTTTTTAAAAAAAATTTCTTAAAATGGATTCAGGAAATGGCTTTGATCAAAAAAAAATTTTTATGAGCAAATTGGATACTTGAGCCCCATTTTCTGTATGATGTTGTCAAATATAGACATGAGACTATATCACACTTTTCTGAAACACCAGTTACATTTTAGGGTAATCAAGAAATCAAATTTTATTTAGAAAATGTTGAACATTGGCGCTTTTTAAATATAGATCCCATTTATCATGTGGCTATTTTGGGGTTTGTCAGTGGAAAGGAGCCAAAGGTCTTTTCTTGGGCGGGACTCTCCTTTGTTTTAAAATATGTCCTTTCTTCCTGCTGTCTCAGTATTCATTTACAAATACTAGATGAGCTGGGGCTCTCAATGGCCTTACTTGGTAAAAATAAACCCCATAGCTGAACCCTATGTAAGAAAACGTTCTGCTCTGTGAAATCCCAGCATCTCAACATCTCTATGTCAGCATCAAGGTGGCTTCGGGCTTCCCAATTTACATCGCAAGAAACATTACGGTTTCTTTTTTAAAAAAAAGGCATTGTCAGAGCCCGGCCAGTGTGGCTCAGTTGGTTGAGCGTCGGTCGGTTGGTGCACCGAAAGGTGGCTGGTTGGGGCGCATGCCCAGGCTCGATCTCTGGTCGGGGTGTGTGCAGGAGGCAGCCTATTGCTTCTCTCTCACATCGATGTAGCTGGAATTTGAACATGGCCCTCTGACCTGGAAGCCCAGGCTGGCATAACTGTCAATCACCTTCTCTCCACCCCCTCAAGGAAAAATGAGACCCAATGCTTGGCTCCAGGGGGCCCTCAAGATTTGAGGAGATGAACCCCAAAGAAGGCTTGACACTCATCTCAGAAAACCTTCTACTTACTGATCCACACCTTCTGTCTCTGAGAGAATGTGGTTAACTTTGCGCGTAGTGGCCCAGTGGCAGCGAGAGAGGCACAGGCAATCCCCGCAGCAGAGGGATATGCCTGCGTGGAGTGTATTAGTCTTCAGGAGAAATGCTATTTAATATACACATGGCAGATTTATGGAGTCAATTTCGCTTCTCCTTGAGTACAATTCTCTAGAGGGAGGCAGAAACCGGAAATGCATCCCAGGAAAGCGTTCCTCCTGGAGACGGGGCACTGTCTTCAGAGGCGAGGACGACTGGCCTGGCCTTAGGAGTGAGCCGGGAACCTTGACTTGGTCAGGTCCTATGACCAGCCGCTCTCTGGGGATTGTCTGGAGGGTGAGGAGTGGCTACAGGCTCCTCCAAGCCCAGTGGACCATCAGGAAAGAACCAGGAGCCAGACCTGGGAGCCCTCTCAGCAGCACCAGTGAGTCCCGTGTGGCAGGAGAAGGGGGCAGAAGCCATGGTCTGGCGGCGCTCTCCGCGGGCCGCTAGGTGCAGAGGAAGTTGGGGAAGTATTGGTAGCCAGGGTTGTAGCTCTTCAGGTTTCTCCTCAGGCAGTAGGCGAGCTTCCGGTCGCAGGAGCAGAGCTTCATCTGGCAGGGGGACCCCCGCTCTGCAAACAGGACCCCAAATGCGGAATGAGGAAGATGCCCTCTACGGACATCGACTCCCAGGCTTGCTTCAGTCAGGACTTGCTTCTAGACCAGGGGTGGGCAAACTTTTTGACTAGAGGGCCACAATGGGTTCTTAAACTGGACCGGAGGGCCGGAACCAAAGCATGGATGGAGTGTTTGTGTGAACTAATATAAATTCAAAGTAAACATCATTACATCAAAGGGTACGGTCTTTTTTTTTCAATAGTTTTATTCATTTCAAACGGGCCGGATCCGGCCCACGGGCCGTAGTTTGCTCACGGCTGTTCTAGACTGAGCAGACCCCCCTCCCCCCCTCGCCATCTGCTTCCTGTTCTGATGGAGCGCTCAGTCTGATGAGGGAGGCACAGCGTCTATCCCGGGGGGAGGCATCATCTGATGGAAAAGGCCCAGCTGTCCGGGGTGAGGTTTCAGCCTAAGGAGACCCAGCTGCTGCCCTCCGGGAGCCCCAGTCCATCAAGGACACACATCCCCGCAGTCTGATGGCGGAGACAGCTCCTGCCCTGGAGGAACCCCAGTTCTCATAGCGACACCATCTCCAGACTTAGCTTTGAACTCAGAGGGACCTGAACTTGGATCCCAACTCTAGCTGTACGAACTGGCAAGCCTTTGTGTTTCAGTTTCCTCCTCTGTAAAATGGAGAGACTAAACCTACTCACAGGGTATTTTCAGGGAGCAAGTAAAGGGAAGTGTGCAAACATTTGGCACCTACTGAATACTCAATCTAAGACATCAGCTACAGCTGCAATATTCTTGCCCCTCTTCTTCCCAGTTCTCTCCCCCTCCCCCAAGATATAGGCTGGCTGACCTCTAGGGGCAGCTGAACTCAGGGCCAGAAGAGACCCAGGCTCCTCCAGTGGCCTGAATGGGAAGCCCAGCCTTACCACAGGTGACCAGGCCCCGTGAGACACTGTATTGGTAGGACTGTGTCCGGATGTGGCAGCCTTTCTCCTCCAGCAGCCCATAGCAGTGGTCATGTATCCAACAGCACCTGTCAATGCAACACACTTAGATCCTGAGTGGAAGGGGCATGCCATTTAAGCGGAGGCCACATCGGTGGGTGTGGTCTGGCAGAGAAAGAATCTCATAAGAATATGCCCTTCTTCTAGGGCTGCCCGCCATTGGCTAGCAGCTCACTGACCTGTGTTTTCCTCCTAAGCTCATGGTGAGACTACATTTCCCAATCTCCCTTGCAGGTACAAGTAGTCACATGACTAGGTTCCAGCCAGAGGAATGTGAGCAGAAGTGATGTACACCGCTTTCAGACCTACCCATAAAAACCTCACACGCCATCCTCCACTCTCTTTCTTTCTCCACCTCAGCTGAATGAAGGTGATCCAGCCTGGGACTCTGAGGCCACCGGGAATAGCAGAGCCACAAGATGGAAGGGACCTGGGTCCCAAAATCAACCTGTTTGATTGAACTGTTATAAGCTCAAAAAATAAACTTCCAGTATGCTAGGGGTAGCAGGTTTCATTAAAATGTTTTACTTACAAAAAAGTTGAGAAATTGTACACAGTGTTCCCATTTACCCCACATCCAGTTTCTTCTATTAGTAACATCTTATATTAATATGATACATGTGTTAGAACAAACCAATGTTAACTGATTACTAAATACTAATATATAATTATTGATTCATTAAATTGTAAAAAGTTCCCAGCTTTTTCAGATCTCCTTAGTTTTTACGTAAGGTCCTTTTATGTTCCAGAATCCCCACGGGACCCCACATGACATTGAGTCGTCACGTCTCTGTAGGCTCCTCTTGACCCAGGGCAGTTTCTCACGCTTTCCTTGTTTTCGATGACCTTGACAGTGTTGAGGAGTACTGCTCAAGTATTTTGCAGGATGCCCTACTATTGGGTTTCTCTGACATTTGTCTCATGTTATGTGTTTCTCTTTTTTGCTCTAATTGTCCCACCTTTGGCCATGGGGAGCTCTTTCGGTCGGTTCCTGTGCTCTTTGGCATTTCCATCAATGTGGCGTCTGTTTGGGGTTTGTTTTGTCTGGTTTTGTTTGAGCACTTCCTTACCTTCTGATTTATAAGAAGCTCCAGGCTCATCCTGTATATTTCCCGCACTAGTCCTAGCATCAGCCATTTCTCTAAGGAGTCTTGGTTCCTGGGAGAGTGATATTAGAAACCAGACCTGGACACTAGGTGTTGCTTATTGCTACTGAGAGGTTGTTTCTTGTAGGTCCTCTCAGCTGATAGAATACATATATATATATATATATATATATATGTGTGTGTCTATATTAATCCCATGTATATACACGTATACATATTTCTATATATAACCATTTGCATCTGTATTAAGCTAAACTCGAGTTCATATTGATGTCTCCAACTCTAAACCACCACCACATAGGTCATTCTAGCTTCCTGTCCTTGCTTGTCTGCAAACTCCCCTCCGGCAGCGAGGAACTCGGCTCCAATCATCTGCCATCCATGCCCTGAATTGCCTCACCCCATCATACATGTCTAGCAGTCTCAGAATAGTTAACCCAGCAGGTGGCATTTTCCAAAGAATAATCTCTCCCCTCCCCCCTGTTCTGGAACTTCTATACTTGCCAATCAAGATGTGAGAACTAGATCCCCTCCCTCTTAAAGCCATTATGACTGCCTCAGCCAAAAAGAAGGACCAGCCTGAAATTCCCAAGGCTTAGTCATAAAAATGCTATACTCTTTTGTCTTGCAGTCTTGGGACACTCACTCTTAGAACCCAGGGGTCACCGTGCTGTGAGGGAGTCCAAACAATCTTGGAGAGGCCTGGGTGGGAGGAACTGAGACCCCCAGCCCCAGCCCAGCCCCATCTGAGCTCCCAGCCAGCAGCCAGCGACCACGTGCCAGCTATCGGAGTGCACCATCTGGATGATGCCTCACCCAGCCTCAGTCAAGGTGCCCAAGCTGAAGCTGGGTGGCACAGAGACAGGCCACCCCACCAAGCCCTGCCCAAATGGCAGATTCTTAACAAATCAATGGTCATCGTCGCTTTAAGCCACTACACTTTAGGATGGTTGTCACGTAGCAACAGACCATCTGACACATTAGGCCACTGAGATTTGGAGAGTTGCTAGATGTAGCGTGGGCAAGTCAGCTAGCCTCTCTGGCACTCAGCTTTCTTATCTATAAAATGGTGCTTCAATTCCAGAAGTGACATGGGACTAGAGGAGGTCGTGTGGGTGCAGAGCCTGGAGCATGAAGGGCAGTCATGATAATCAGCTCACCAATCAGTAACATCCTTGGGGGTCCCTCGACCGCCCCAGCCACAGTAACAGCCGTAGAAGCCATAGTTCATCAGGGCGTTCTTCCCCGTCACCTTCTCAATCATGGACTTCAGTTCTAGCAGGCCGCCTGACACAGCGGGCACACCTGAAAGACAGCCCCGGTTTCCCAGCATACTCCAGCCTCTCTCCCACCCCGGGGCTTAGAGGGGCCCAGGTGTCTCTTTCTCTTCCTCCCCATCAATGGGAGAGGGACAAGGAAGGTGAGGGCAAGCAGCATAGAGAAGTGGTTACATGGCTGGACTTGGGGAATGAGCAGGCCTGGGTCCAAAACACAACCCCTGCTGACTCACAGTATGATGCCGCATAGGCCTCTTATCTCTCAGACCTCGTGTTCCTCGGTTCCCTAAAACGAGTGCCTGCCTCTGGGAGTTGTCATGAGGGTTACACTAAGGTAAAGGCTGTAAATTTCCAGCACTGTGGCAGATACATACTCAGGGGCCAAGAAACATTAGGTATAAGTCATACGGTATCATCTGAAGCTGGCTAATGGGCTCTTCCTTTATCTCCTAACAATACACACCTTCTCCTCCCACTAACACCATCCTATATAATAAAAGCCTAATATGCTAAGTGTCAGGTTGTCCGGTCGGCCATTCAATCAATCAAAATGTAATATGTTAATGATATGCTAAGGCTGCTCAACCACTCGCTATGATGTGCACTGACCACCAAGGGGCAGACACTTCGACCTGTAGGTTAGCTTGCTGCTGGGGTCTGGCCAATCGGGACTGAGTGAGATGAGCCAGACACGCCCTGGAGCCCTTCTGCAGTCCCTCCCCGGCTGGCCAACCTCCCGTGTCCTTCCCCGGCCCTGATTGTGCACTAGTGGGGTCCCTCGGCCTGGCCTGCACCCTCTCACAATCTGGGCTGAGGGAACACACACACACACACACACACACACACACACACCCCAAGTGCATGAATTTCGTGCACCAGGCCTCTAGTTAAGAACGTAAGAATCTTCAAGCAGGGTGGGCCCCTTGGAGCTCTCTGAAGCCAGCTCCCTCATCATGCAGATTGGGAAACTGAGGCCTAGAGGGAAAAGGTGGCTTGTGCAGGGGTACACAGTGAGCCAGAGGCTCAAGGCCTCGCGCTCCTACTGCAGTCTCCAGGGATTCAGAGACATCAAAAAGCAGGCAGCCTGATGGGGGCTGAGGAGAAGCTCGAGACAGACCCCCGACTCCAGGCTATGCAGTTACCTCCTGCTGGGAGGTGGCAGCCGGTGGGCTGCACACAAAACCTGGACAGGCCTGAGCAGAGGGTGGCCAGGAATCCTGGGGTGGGAGGTGCTTTTTTTTTACTTTGTTGTGTTTTATCCCCCGCTTTATTTTCTTTTGTTTTCCATCAAACAAGCAAACAAAAAATCTGCCTCCTGCATTTACAAACCATGTAGTGTCCCTGGAGCACAACCCTAACTCATTACCCACTAGATCCTGCCACAGACCTGCTGTCATGAATGAGAAAACAGAGTCTGGGAGAGGCAAAGGCTTCTGCTGACGTCTACACAGTACATGCAGAGCCCAGATGCACAGTTAAGTCTCTACAGCCTCAAAAACTAGTCTCCTTGCCACTACCCTGTTGTTCCTAGAGGTCTGAGGGTCACAAGATCAAAGGTCAGGGGGCCAGGACTTACTGCAAGCCAGGAACCAAGCCAGTGTGAGGATCCCCTTCATCTCTGAAGTTCTAGAAAAGAAAACATATCCCATGACATACTTATCAGGAGATGTCCCCACAGCCCATTCAAACTCTGCCCCTGGCTTCCCACCAAGCCCTACCCTCTCACGCTAGTCAATACACGGGCAACCCAGTGAGAAAAGATGAGGCAAACACTTCAAGGAGTTGATCTAAAGGGTCCCTAGGGGCAGAGGGCCATATTGTCCCCAACAGAGACAGGGGAGAGCTGTCCCACCACAAATGCACCTGACCACAAATGCCCCCACTCAATTGCCCCTTCTGCAGAAAATGGCTAAAAGTAACCAGAGGAAGAGGTGGGATTCTTTAATGGATGGGGATTTGATGGCACAAGTCAGGGGCAGGAATTGGCACACCCAGACAGGGCCCTGGGTGGAGGATGTCAGGATCTGGCAGGGAGAAAAGCAGCCCCTAGCAAGGGAGAGGCTGGTGCAGGGCCGGGAGGGCACAGGGACACTGATGGCTTTAAGTCCTAGCATCCTTTCTTCTGGTGGTGCTGAGGGCCGATTCAAGGACGTCTTCTGTGCTGGTGATTTGAGGACAGAAGCTGGGAGGGCTCACCCCTCTCCCAGCACTGCGGACAGTGCCCAGCCCGAAGCAGGGGCTCAGGAATGAAGCAAGAGCACCCCTTATATGACGTGGCTCTCAGGCCTCCTCAGGGCTTTTGTGGATCCCAAGCCCTTTTGTCTTCATAGTCCCCTTCCTCAAAAAAAAGTCCTTTTTTAAAATTATATTTTACAACCGAGTTGCTATAAAAATAAATACAATCCATGCTGGGTTCCTTATTATTATTATTCATTTATTTTTCTTCAATATCAAAAGAATTTAACATTGAAACATTGTCTTGGGCCCAGGCACTGGGCCTGCCATAAGTTGACGCTGGGGGCTCAGGAGAGCTCAGAAGGGTAGGTATCATTGCTGGCCTTTTGCCAACAGAGAAGTACAGGCTCCGAGAGCTCAAGGCACTGCCAGAAGTCGCACAGCCATAAGAAGTGGAGGGGCCTAGTGTGCCCCTCGATGTGCTGCACAGCCTCCCTCCCCAGAGGAAGGGCTCTCCTTTGAGCCATGGAGCCCAGAGGCCCCAGCTTCCCTCCCCCCAGACAGAGGAGTCCTGGCCTAGAGTCCAAAGAGATCACACGCAGAAGGCAGAGGAAATTCCATGTGCCTTGAGCCAGTGTCTGATTCTAACTGGGCCTCTGGCAGAAGGTCCTTGACCTATGGCTGCCTGCTTTCCTTCCCTGTCTGGATCCCAACCCCTTGTTCATCTGCAGCTGCCCAGCTGGCCAGTAGTCGGCCACGGTTTCCCCTTCGGTGCCCTGCTGTCCCTGAGTCCTGAGTTCAGTGGTCTTTTCGGCCAGTGGCTGTGCCCCAAGCCCTGTCCCTTCCCAAGGCCTGGCTCCAAGCACACCACCTCCAACTCCCAGGGCTCCTGGCTCCTGGGATGCCCGCTCCCTGCTATCCTTTGTCCAGCAGCTCCTCTGAGTTCCCGAGGGTTCTGTCCACCCATTGCCGCTGCCTTGAGGGCTCTAAATAGCCAAGGCCATGGTTCTAGACCCTATCCTTCCACAGCCATCTTTCTCCGCTGCTTCCTGGAGCTGTGACCGGAGGAAGAGGGCAACTACCATGTACTGGGCACCTACAATGTGCCAGGCACTGTCTCAACCCGCCAATGGCCCTGGCAGGTGACAACTGTTAGACCTGCTGGCACGGTGTCTGTCCCTTCAACAGCCATTTGTTGAAGGAGATAATGCCAGTTGTTGGTTTTTACAGACCAGGAAACCCAGGCTCAGGAAGGGGAAGTGAGTTGCCCAAGGATTCAGCTCAGGAATAGGATGCAACTCCTCTACTCACTGGACCCCCTGCCTCTGAGCAGCCCCTGTGTGGGAGCCACGCTGTTCCCTTTCTACACCTTATGATGCTTTGTCATCCTGGGGGCCTTGCTGGGCTGGGAAGAGACAGCCCCTCCCAGGACTAGCTCATTCCTCGAGATAGTCAGAGGCTGCTCAGTGAGCACACCTTTCACTCATACGCAAGCCAACCAATCCTAAACCTCCTTGCCCAACCACCTTTATTTAACACTCATGCTCCCAGCCGATATTTCCTCTGCCCTAAATCACCGGAGGGCCAGGAAGGACTGTTAAGAGTCCCTTGAAATCATTCAAGATAGTCGATCCTAAATTGTCCTTTCTTGTAAAAAACACAATAGACTCTGGACCATGTTTTCGCTCATCTTGCCTCCTGGTCGACCCGGTGCTGCCCGAGTGGGCCTGCATGCTGTGGCGTGTTCCCTTCTCTTGGAAACTGTGAGTAGCAAGCTATCTTTTGCGTCTCCTGATCTAAATGGTGTGTCTCCCAGCACATTTTAGAACACCTTTGACCTGGGCTGTGGGTGTGAGCACGAGGCCCCAGGCAAAGGGCCCTGAAAGAGAACAAGCTAAGCTACACAGAGAATGTGCTGGGCTGCATATCTGGCGCTTCGGCCAGACGGGGCACGCTGTCCTAGAACACATAGATAGGAAGGTACTGACATCAGGCCAGGCCTTGAGATATGGTCTCATGGCCCCTTCCCAGCACGCAGGGCTTCTTTCTCAGAAGGCCTGGAAGTCTCATTCCAAATGTGGGAGACAAAGGACTGGAAAAAGTATAAATAAAGAGAGTTTCCTCCATATTGGGGGCCCAGAATTTGAAAGACACATTTTTCTCTGGGCCTCCACAGAATTTAATAATAAAATGTAACTCTTATAGTCTGCACTGCAGTTCAGCCTCTGCTTCGGCAGGGTGCTGTAACTGTAGTCGCTGGCCAGCTCAATAAATCCTCGCTTGCTGTTTAAGACCTAATTGGAGTCGGTGGTCTTATTCTCGAGAATGTTGGTCCACAACAAGAAGGTGGCAGAGGCACTGAACCAGCCGCCTGGGGTGGGGAAGGGCGGGGAAGATGGCCCTCAAGGAAGCCCAAACCAGGCCCCAGGAGGAGGATGTGGGGTTGGCTATTTTTATCAAGTAACCACAGCAGGGAATGAGTGAGCCAGGAGGTAATATTGGAGTGGAGCAGTGGCCGCGGTAATGAGAGGTGGAGAGAGTGGAGTCAGGCAGCCTGACGGAGCATGGCAACGTGGGGGCTGGGGTGTGGCCGGGTCACTGCACAGGCAGGCCCTCCAGGTCCACAGGCAGCAGCCCCCGCCCCCCCAGCTCCCAGGACCCCGTCCATCGTGTCTTCCCCAGGAAAGGACGACAGCACCAGCCCCCCTGTCTGGAAGGATACCTGAGACCTCCTTACAGTCCATGGAGAAGCAGCGGAGGGACAGACGCCCCTCTCACAGCCCTCTCCGTGCCCGACCCCTCCACCCACAGGTAAGGCACCCCCAGAATGAGATTCCTCACCAGTGAGACCTTCTCTCTGTCCTCTGGTCAGGCCTGGAGGAGAGGCAAGGGTTGGACCCGCCTGGTTTTAAGGGCCTCCCCGCCTGCCTCCCACCCCTGCCAGCTCCAGGAGGAAGCCTTACGTCTCCCCTAAGACCCCTGGGGATTTTTCCTCCCTGTACTCAGAAACAGCTATTTCCTGAAGCACATCACTGGGACTGGGTGGCTTCAGGAGGGATATTGAGTTCCGTCTCGCTGGGGCCACCCACGGTCCGGGGCCCTTCTCCATCAAGGCCCGGGGATCTGGAATCCCCCTCTGGGCCTGCCCCCCATCCCCGCCCCCAGGCCACGCCAGGTCTCTGTCAAGGCCTCCAGCCCACGCTCCTGCTCAAATTTCATTCGATCTCTCTGGGCCTCATCCCAGGGACAGCCAGGACAGCGGGTGGCACCCCCTCTGACTGCCCCGTTCTCTGCCTGTTGCTTCCCATCTGCCAACCCCAACTCTCTGTCCTGTTCGGGAACCAGTGAAAGCCCCGCTCTGGAGTCGCAGTAAAATGTTGCCAAGCACGGCTGGCACCTCTTTTTTGCACCTGACTCTCTAGCAAATTACCACATTTCTTTCGTCTGAGAAGGAGAAACCACCGCCTTGCAGTGAGAGGAATGCCAGCTAGAGTCCCCCAGTCAGCAGCGGTGTGACCCCGGGAAAGGCGCCGCACTTGTCTGTTTGTGCCTGGGACTATGACAATAATGACCGCCTGAGGGGCTCAGGGAGAGGTAAGGCCAAGTGGGGAGGGGTGCGGCTCAGGGGTTCACACCACAGGCTCTCCTGGGTTCACCTCGCAGCTCCAAATCCTGGGTTCAAATCCTGGCTTCCCCACTCAGCTATTTCACCTCAGGGCTGATGGTCGTTCTCTTGCCTCCGAGAGGGATTGGGATTAAATGACTTAATGCATTTGTAACAGAGAAGTGGCCAAAATGTTAACAAATACACAGCCTCCTAGAGTTCTCACAAGGACATGGGTAGCTGTCCCTACTCTCCATCCTCCAATTCTGTTGATCCTGCTCCCCATCCTGACCCCCACATACACACACTGAGAAGACACGGGTGTGCCCGTCCTCCTGTCCCCAAAGCCCCTCCTTTGGGCCCGCATGAACCCGTCTCTACCTGGGACCTACCCCCCGCCAGGAACCCTGTGAATTCAATTTAACACAAAAAGTACCCACTGGGAGTCTGCTGTGTGCCAGGCCCTGCCGGGGACCCACTGTGAACAGGGCTGCCTTTCTGGTTGGGGGACATGGAGAGAGCGTACAGGCATCGGTCATGTAAATAAATACACAACATGCCCCTGAGCAGTAGCTGCCGTGGGGAAACTCCGCCTTCGGTGTGTTTATTTCTCTTTCCCTCCAGTCCCCTCCTCTGCTGCCGGCACACAGGAGCTCCCACCCCAACCCAGACGAAAGCAGCCAAAAAAGGGAAACACCCCTTACCTCTGCTGACCTCTCTCCAGTTTCTGTTTCCTGCAAAAGCCCAGTTTCTGGACCGAGAAGCCTCCACTTACTCATCGCCCGCTCCCTTCTGAACCCTTTGCTGCCTGGCTCCAGCTGCGTCCCCCAGCCGGCT